TCATCTGACAATGATGCCGTTATGGCGTGCTAAAGAACGGGTGTCCAGAGATATGTACGTGAAATCAGCCCAAAGACTACCTTTGTGTCATGCACAAACCATTCGCTGCGTTCATGCAGCTTCTGTGACGGTACATTCCGTTACATTTTGGTACGATGGAACGGGGCTATTATCATTCTTGTTTATCTAAATAGTGCTTGACTGCCTTGATTCAAGTCATCGGTATAAGTATCAAGTGACATGGAGATGCAGATCGAGCAGATGCTGTAAATATTGTACTGTAGCAATGCTCGGAACTCCTTACTTCTCTGGAACATTTCACAGACTAATGAGGCGGTACAAACACAAAACCAGCTGCGTCTTTAATTCGCATCTCAGTATTGTCATTTCCGTTTAGTTTGTTTCTGGGCATCTAGGTATTATTTCATATTGACCACGTATGCACAGATATTGTAGCGAGAACGACGGGGTAGGGGGTCAGACAGTGTATTGCCATAACTACGTGTCACTGACAACTCACAACCCCATGCAGATATGCGTCGTGTTTCCTTCCCACGACGCAACGCGAATGAGGATTTGTGTGACAGATCACTCCAGGTGTCTGCGAGGTTGAGCTTCGAAACTATCCCACCATATTTCCATCTCCGCTTCTCCATATCCGATACTGACCAGCCAGGAATCGTTCGAAAGCTTGCGATTTGCTCTGCCGTGGCTGCACCATTCGGCCAGCGTTCACTCCTATGGGCGTCGCTAACGGCGCATTTGTCTGTTACATTGCGTTCTCGACAAATACCTCCTCCATTGTGCTGGGCCCAGGCTCATTACCAAATGAAGCCCGTGATCCGCTGTCGGCTCGATCCGCCAGTCATGCAGAGCCTTGTCTCATCTCATCCAATGCGCCCACTGATACTTCCCTACTACACTGTTTTTGTAGTCTTTTCAGTTTACGAGTAGTCGTTGGCTTCCGCTACCCTGCAAAATGTCTAAACAGAAGGGTTGAATCTACAACAAAGTTCTGTCAAGCTCGCAATGTTAAAAGTTTACCTTCTTCACAATAGGGAGAAAATGCTGCACAACGCAACGGATGAATCCAAAAATACTACGCTAAGTTGAGGATAAACATGAAGCTTTGACTCCGCCAAAGGAAACGAGTGGATGAAAAGGAATTGCTTGATATATCGATGGGATTTGATGCTGAGATGAAATGGGAACTTCGATCTCTCTTAGACAGTTTGACCGATGAAAAACCACAGATTTCAACAACCGCATGATTTGGTCAGCAAATATGCTTTTCGTACATCGTTCCAATTAACATGGAAGAGCGTTGTGCGCGCTTAGTGTAGACGTCCAAACGGATGTTCGCTAGTGCACTGACATCACCCGACTCGACCACAGGCAAGCAACCTATTCTGTTCACTCAGTCTCCATTGATTATGTCGGGTACCTGTTCCAGCTTATTGGGTGATGTACGCTGTACGCTGTACTAACAAGGGGCAAATATCTATCCATCTATTCACCGATGAGCAATGTTTATCACAAGTTGAGATGCATGTAATTTGCAGTGATCTGTGAATACTCTAGCGAGCGTTTTCATGTGAGACGCGGTAACTAAAGCGTCCTCTTCCTGTTTTGAACTCAGGTGCTCCATTTACAGGCATATGGTGTAGTAGTTCTTCAATGTGTGTTGTTTTCACGGCACAAGTAGATGGCACCCAGTGAAAACAATTATTTTGCTCCGGAGTTGTAACTGTACAATGATGCTAAGTGGCGAAATATAGGCGACTTATTGCGTCATCCAAGCGCCTATGGAATACGATCACGATCATTGCGAAAGCTGGCTATTCGGGGGATGCGTTCCAACGATGTCATCCATAATTAAAACGGAAATTTCTGTGGCAAGTTCAATAACCCCGCTATTCCTACAGTTACGGGCAGTGACATCCCGGTTGATGTTACTGCTGAACTCCAGGCAAACGCAGCACACATGCGTTGGATTGTGTAGGAGCAAGTTATCCATTATCAGGGTGCCTGCCAATGAACAACGTGGTCCACCAAATACTCTCAAGCATTCCTTGTATCACTTAGCGCGCAATCGGAGTCAATCGGAGTAAAACAGGCCTTCCTCAGAGATAGCATGGTGCTCATACTTCCGGTTCCATGTGATATAGTTAGCCCCGGTAGGAAATATGGGCCGCGAAGGAACCGTGTTCTGCCCTCAAATGTACTAAACAGTGAGTACGGTTACCTTTAGATAAACCCTAATTTCGTGTCTGTATTGTAATTTGTGGCCACCAGATGTGAACACAGGGCTGCTTATTATCCAACCTCATACTACGTTCACCACCACACCATAGGCGTCCACTGCAATTGCAATCAATCGATAATCCCTTCACTAGGCCACCCTTCTGCGTGAAACACGTACGCCATGCTTCCACGTCAGACTGTCTACACAAGGGGTGTCCATAAGTTTTGCAATGTGGGCCACATTTTGTGAGGTAAAAATATGTCCGGCCATATTCAGTCTGACATTAGGATAATAATAAGAATTACCTATGCACGAAAAAGTCCAAACCGTGATTTAATATTTCATGATGCGACCGCGGGCCAGTTGAAAACTTAACGTGGACCGCATTTGGCCCGTGGCCGAAATTTGGACATCCCTGGTCTACACACTTCAAAAGTCAGTCAGCACAACCCGTGCACATGTGCATGTATGTCGATACTTGCCTCACCTGTTTCCAGATCTTAAGCAGGATTAATAACAAAGGTAAAAACACAGTTCAAATAATATGCATCGAGCCACAAAGGAAGGAGACTAGCAACCTTTGAGCATGTGACACTTTCTGTCCGGACTGGATGCATCTGACATGTGCACACAAATGCGCCCCAGTCAGCAAAGGAAGTTAGAGCACTTATGAAAAGACAGTCTAGTAAACAATTTCATGTTCAGTGATTCATGGTCAGTTTAACTACAGCACATTTGTAGTTAAAAGGAAGAAGGGTGGATTCAGTACTTAGCAAAGGAAAGTGTTACATAACCATAATAGGCATGGTTTGTTCTTGCGGAGGCTGCACGGATGACAGCTAATCACGGTAAAGTCGAAACCTTGACGAACCGTTTATGCAGACACAAAAGGGGTTGTTGAAACGAATCGCGATCACCTTCGCAATACAAGACTTAGCATCTGATAATTTTGGAATGGACACTCCTCAGAAGCAAGATAGGGAGAACGACTTTAGATATAACGATGGGATGTTTCATTTGGACTACGCTTGCGACTATTGCAGAGGTGTACGTCTGGTTCAAGCCTCGGTTTATCCACGCTTAGTAATGATCGTGGACGCGTTGAGACAAATGTTTCGTGTTGCGACCTATGGAGCTTGTTCCACAGAAGCTGGTAAATGGTGCACATGGAATGGGACATCCACAGACAATTAATTCTTCAGATGGAGGTTAAACATGGGCGTACAAATGAAGATAACAAGCAGCTGTGCAACACCATATGTGTTAGTGGTGATCAGGCTTAATCGATCGGAATTGTTGTCTCTCTTATATGGAAGCGATACATGGATGATTTGCTACCCTGCCGTGGGTGCTCAGTCGACCACACAGTCAGTACACATATGCCTGTTAAGGTACTCCTCAGGATAGCCGTTATTACAGCGTGGTCTTCTTCACTCGTGTCCTTGGAGCATAATTTCATCGCTCTTCACTCAGGACACCGGAACGATTTTGTCGGATTGAGACAAAGTAATCAAAGTGTGTAGGTTAACCCGTCCATGTCGCCTTCCTGTGGATTCTGCACTGTCGCGAGTCATCTGGTCGAATTAGTATCACAACATACACGAAAGCCAAACCTCCAATTCACTCAGTTTGCATGTAAAACTGCATGTTCCTGTGGACCCAACTGAATTGCCGTTATAATGCAACCTGGTCTACAAAACCGTCAGCTATACGCATCTTGTCATCGACATAGTGTTTACAGATTGGCAGTTGATAATTCATTTCACGAAACAGGAGTTTCTCTAGCTTGGCCATGAAATCCTCATTAGTTACGCAGCCGACCATGCTTCTGCTCCTATTGTCTGTTGCGGTTCATAAACTTGACAACTTAGTTATAGCCACAGCAAGGTTTGGGGTTCAATGCTCCACTTCTGAACAAAGCGACCGGGATGTGAATAAGGGTAGCACCATGAACCTAGGTACACGACCAACGCCAACCCATAACCGGGTATCCAATGATGTCCTAGGCAAGTTTGTGAATCCTACGCTAGCTCAAGAGATTTCACATAAGAACAGCTGTGTAATGCATGCATTGGTAGCACACCGTGGCATACGCATCGAAGTTGAATTTGCGGTTTTATGAGCGTCCGTTACCACTGCAAACGAGCTCGGATCAATTTCTATACCTACTTCTGACGCCATCATGCAAACGCCAAACCAGCCCCCCAAACGCGGATTCTTTCGTCAGATAGAGAAATCCACCTCTATCACACTAGCTATTTCCAAATGAACCATTCCACTGCTAACAATCGCATGCTCCACGATACTAAGCTTAACGCTTGTTAGATGAAATAAAAGCTGTTAGATGACTAGAAATAGCTGGAGTCCATATGCTGACTAATTGCCGTCCACGCTAAATGACTAATATGGTGTGTATTTTACGGCACCCAAACGCAGACCATTAAGGCGAAACACAGCTTCTTCGGATAACACTAGGCTCAGTAAACAACCACAGCACCGTCACTCGAAAAGATCAATTACGTCTAACTCAATACCTTGGTAGTAAGGGGTCTAGCGAACTACTGTCAGATTAAGTAGGACGTTTTCAGTGGAGATCTGCTGACATGTAAGACGCCCACTCGCACTTCAACCCGGGTATGCTCGAAACACGCCTGCCTGAAACTCGCATGCATTGCAACATGACACATCTACAAACGGGGAACCACGCACACACCGTTGGCAAAACCAACCACCCCGACGCCACAAGAAGTCAACGTTGAGGTAAATAAATAAATAACAAATAAATTAATCTGGCCAAATGCTATGTACATATCAATCAACAGGAGTAGTTACGCGACCGTGGGACAGTCCTGATAACAGGCTTTGCCAACTCCACCGGCACGTTGGAGACAGTTTTTCTCGCCGTACACGAGTCCTCCGAGACTGCCTTTCCATAGGTTGTGAAGGTTCGATGACCGAGGATGACCAAATCAGCGTTTAGTTCGCGAACAGCATTTGTCAACGTGAGGTGTGGTTTCGCGTGCACATACAGGAATGAGTGCGCGTTCACCCCATAATTCTTGGCCAGTTGCATCGCCTCGCGACATTTCGACTTGCCTTTTCTGATGCTGGACTGACCAATCGTGAGCATGGTGCCTAACAGGACTGGAAATCTGGTAGCTGAAGGCACCGGCGTGGGTCGCACATTGTACACAATGAGGAGTACATCACCGGGTCTCACCAATTCGTCCAAATACCATTGGACGACATCCAGATTGTTGTCGCCTTCGTCCAACGGAAGGATAACTCTTCGGTCGGCTGCGAGGGTTAGTTTGAGTACAGTGGGTGGAAGCATGTCGCGTGTCAATCCGCTTGTGTTCCTCTGAGTAGAAATGTCTTGTCAAGCTAGATGGTGACGAACTGGCATATTTATATGTTTACGGAGTGGCAATTAGTGACTTTCCATTGGTGTTTCAATGGCCTTCACATCAGTCGTGAGTGTAGGCGTCGATTGGAATGCCAAGGATGATACGCGGTGGATGAGTGCTCGTCAAGCCAAAGACGTTTCATCCCAGTTCACCGCGCGCATCGACGTGTTAATGGCTTTTGTTTAGCCACTGTTTGAGTGACATTTGAACTTGTAAGGTAGCACAGTTTTAACGCGTGAATAAGGGCGATTTGTTCTTGATTGGCATCGAACTCAGTCTATTTCAACTCAATTAGTCTTTTCGTAGACCACAATGTGGAGGTAGAGAAACGGTTTACTTTGAGGTTTACTTTGAAAATAGCTTCAGTGTAATTTTCATTCTTTCTGGGATCAGATGCCCACTTCCCCGTTGGCTGAAATCTAAATTGGCACCACATATGCTCATGACTTGTGACGTACTAGAGAGATCAGTAGGATCATCCAAGTCTAGATGACACCAAAACGGGCAGTCTTCTTCTATATCAAGATAACTATGTATCACCGAGTTCTCCTGGTCTCCGAACAGCTGAAGTTGCAACAATGCTAATTATTCTAGACAAATGAGCGGTCTCGGTAAGCAAGTCATCTGCTGTTCCCCTCAAAACTCCTTGATGAAGTTTCCTTCAGTAAACAGCTTTTCTTGTTCCTCCATAGTATGCGATATTTATTGACACGCACGAGCGACAGATACAGCCAGCGTGCTTCCCCAACACTTCATCCATACTTTCCGGAGTGAATCATCATTTCATCCGCTTTTGACACAGCTTCCATTGTCACTAGGTTTAAACCACGTATCGTTTACCGCAGCCAATATGATGAGAACGCTGATGTCATTGCGCGTGCACAGCTCACCTGGCGTGGACGAAATCAAACCGACGACATTGAAGACAGCTGCCAAAAATCTTGCCCATTAGCTAGGTTCTTTCAACCTTGTCTCTACTAAATGCAGGTTCCCACAATGTAGAAAAATGGACTAGTCAATCTTATTCACAAAAGTGGTAATCGCGCGGCACCCTCGAACTACCGTCCAATCACTCTGCTCCCATATTTTATCCAAAGTAATGGAACGTATACTTGCAGAGGCGCTCATGGAATATCTTGAGAGCAACAACACGCTAGTGTCCCAGCAACATGGATTCGGCGAAAATCAATCCTGCACTACAAACTTACTACCAGCCCGAGCAAGCTGGACAGAGACAGCCGATACTAGAGTGGGAGTCGACGTTGTCTACCTGGACTTCTAAAAAGCGTTCGATGGTTTGGACCACGGCATTCTGCTTCACACACTTCGAAGCTATAGAATCGGTGACCCTGTGCTCGGTTAGATCGACAACATCCTCACTCAACTTCAGCTGAATGTGAGAGCCCGCAGCTCTATTTCCGACCCACTTGACGTTCAGTGGGGCGTATCCCAAGGATCGGTACTGGGGTCAAGTTTATTCCGAGTATTCATTAACGATCTTGCCAGTTTAATGCAGTCAACTTTCTCACTATTTACAGACCATGTGAAAATTTGGGATGACATCAGCACAGCGGATGATCACATTGCATTACAGAACGATCTCAACGGGGCTTGTGCGTGGTCATCTGAAAACCTGCTCCAATTAAACGTGGCGAAGTACAAAGTCGTGAGCAAACGCCATCAGCTTACCAATGAATATCGACTTGGGGACCAGCAGTTGCAACGTGCTTCCCAAAAATCGACCTCGAAGTGATCGTACGGGACGATGTTGGCTGCTCGAAACAAGATGAAAGCATCAAAAAGAGCCAGTCAGCATCCTGGACTCTTACGGAAGGCCTTCGGAAAATTTGAGCCATCAATCTTTCCGCAAATGCTGTACGCCTACGTGAGACTCCATGTTGAATATGCGATCCAAACCTGGCGTCCCTGGCGCAAACGTGACATCAATGCACTTTAAGCTCCACAACGTAGAGCGTCCAAGCTCTTTGGAGGATTGTTTCATCTCTCTTATCAGCGCAAACTGCAGTTTCTTTAGAATGTACAGTGCTGAATATCTATGTCAGCGAGGAGACCTAATCAGGGTTTACTTAGTACTGACAAACCCAACCCACCCATCTCGCAGTCTGTTGCACCCGAGCCAAAATACAAACCTGAGAGGCCATCAGCTCAAACTGGCTACGCACTACAGTCGGCTTGATTATCGACGAAACGCATTCTCCCTCAATGTGTCTTGTGCCTGAATGTCCTTCCGACTCACGTTATCCTTGCCGCTATATTAACGATTTTCAAAAAGGTCTTGATAACACGCTTTCCAGCTTGCATCATTCGATATAGTTCGTTCCATTTAGAGGACGAAATAACGCAAACCTAACCATGTGCTTCACGGCCCTCTCCGAAACGTGACGGTGAGGATACATGCAGTAGTGTCCATGCGATTCGTGTGGATGTATCTAAACTGGATAACATACCAGATTTGTCAAAATGAAGCGACCCACGAATGAGCGTTGTCGTTTCCATTTTCCTTTCTCACACATTTAATGAACTATAAGAGCTCTCCATACTGTTTTGTGTGTGCACATCCCATTCCCACTGCAAACTATCGTTATGCAGTAGTGCATTTAAATCGGTGGACGCTTACAATAACGATTTACTTATTCGATGATCCTTTCAATTTCTATTTTCACACTAACCATCCTACGGGGATTTGTCAAGCACATGCTTTTTTACCCATGCTAAATCTTTGTTCCTCGTTCATTAAACCTGGGCTTGACTGTTTTGAGAGCTTCTGTGTCAAAATCTCAATAAGCTTAGCCTGCTGCTACAAAAGTGTCTGCAATTGTTCGAAGCCGGCTGCCATTTTTGGGTTCGACTGAAACTCGCGTCGTCACTTTTGTAGCGCTACCTTCCTCTTCTCTCTGCCAGGCCAACACAGCTGGGGTAAAAGCAGTACAAGGACACTGCCAGACTGAAGTATATTAGGCACACATCATGGTTCATTTTATAGGTCACAATCTATCATCTCTTGACTGTCTGTGTTCACCAGCTTCCAGCGTGACTCAGCCCTACCACCACCGGTTGGCTAGAAACCCGTGTGCATATATATATATATATATATATATATATATATATATATATATATATATATCTATATATGTACTTGGCGGCATCCGGTTTCGGATTTGCCTTTAACTGTGGCCAGCCACAGGACGCCTGCGCCTACATAGGGACCATGTGTGGCTTGGGCTGAACCGCCCACACCTCCAACCACACACCCCATATCCAGTGTAAACCCGAAGGAATAAGACCGGGAGGCATGTGGATGGGAGCCACGTTTCATCAACGGTGCCGGCCCACACTCCTTCACAGGCAAACACAAGCACGCTGTATTTGGGAATCAAGCGCACACAAGGCCGTGGCTGGACCGTAGTCCGCTACACATTGGGTGTATGGAACTACTCTTTGATCTCAACACGGCCACAAGGACCGTGCACCCCGTCCCCTCCAACATCGACCAACTGTCTCCTGGAGCCAGTACGGACGAGGTAGTGGGTAATAGACAGGTAGGCACCTTGTCAACATGCACATTAAGCGCAGTCACACCGGGGATATCAAGCAACAGCCAATCACTTGAGAAAAAGATAAGAGAGAAAATAACTCGATTAATGCATAAGGAAACGGTGACGTAAATTTTAAATTAGTGGGCACATGAAATAATTTGTTTACAAAAGAATCCGAGATAAGTGCACGAGGTCAGAAAATAGGTTTTGCGGAAATGCCACAAACATGAAAATGTTATCTAAATCAACTAAAATTGGCTTAAGCGACGTGTGCAAGTTTATAGAAGACAGTACAGGTAGACATTTATCGGAGAAAGAAAAGCATTAGAACAAAAGTGAAAACCCACCACCTGAAATAAATAGACTTAGTATGCAAGTACGCGGTTAGTAAATCGAATGCAGTGTGCCTACAAACGCTGCGCCGGTTCTGCGTACGTTCTCTGCAAGACCCGTCGTCGCTTCGGTAGTGGTCACGAGTGGCCTCGCTCATGGCTCACTAGGTCTGCCTGACTCATGCACTCGCAACCGCTCGTGCTACAGCACCACGCGCTCGATGTCGATGAAGTACAATCCATCGGTTCTTGTCACTTGCGCACTTCTCGCTTCTTCTCTGCATGTACAAGGTCTTTCTCCCGCACTTCGGCAACTGCCTTCGTGATTAGATTGCACCATGCACGCCGATCAACCGCCTTCGATTCCCATGACCTGCAATCAAGATTAGAACGTGATCGGCTCACTTTGATCATGATCGGGTAACGTAACTGGTTGTCTCACGTGCCGGACGGTATAAAATGGTCACTAAACACATATCGCACTACCTTACGTGTAAGGGACGCAAAAACGATCCTACAGCCTTAACTCTAGGTTCTTCATACAGTCGACGTGTAGGTCGGAATGGTAGTAAAGTAGTAATTCTCCACCCTTAGTGGGTTGGTCGTTACACAAATGTGACGCACCAGGTAATGAGATCTTTGCGTCGGCAATCACCTCGTTCAGCCATGTCACTGTTGCCACGAAGATGCCCCAACACCTTGAGGCTTGCTGAAATCAAACCTCGGCCAGTTAAGTGAGAAGCCTTTGTGCGTTTGTGTACAAACAGTTGAGAGTATCGGATAGATATCTGAAGCCTATCTGAAGACACAAAGGTTTCCCGCGATCTTACGCCCACTCTTGTGGGGACGTCTGCTAGTCGTTTTTTGGATTTATTTATGGCCTAACGCTCCTCGCCGTCTCGGGCTGCACCGAGTTTATATCTGCTTGATCTATGGTCCTCGTACTCGAAAGACCAGGGTTCGTTTCCCGCTTCCCAATACTCAGCTGACCATATCAGAGTTGTTTCGCAACCCGCGTCGAATCCTTACGGCTCACATGACCGAGCCAGCTCAGGTGTCTAAGAAAATTATGCAGTCCACTGCAT